GCGCTGTGTGGGTCCCGGGACCTCAAAAAGGGGGTGGGTTGTGAAGAGATGGTAGTCTACCGCCCCTTAAAAAGCATGCCGTAATGGGCGACTAATTAAGGTTTTCCTGATGTCAAATGGACTGGGCCGACCGGCGTCAGATCAAGATTCCTAGGTGTAAACTAAAATACAACTTTTAAGAACGCAAAGGGGGGAAAAAAACAAGGATATTCATCATAGTCAAATTTCATTGTGTGGGGATGGGGAAATTAAAGTAATTTGACAACTCGATTATGTCACAGAAGTATGTTATGAAGTGACAAAGCCTTTCTAACATAAAAAGATATTATAAAGTGAAAATCCATTATAATAGGAATATGAAATAAAATGACACCTTCGTTGTAAAGGAAGAAAATGTTAAAAAGTGACAACGACCGTTTTAACATACGCATACGGTATGTTTACAAGAGAAGTTTGTTCCTATTGTTCTGTTTGATTTATTTGTTTATTTCCACTAAAGCGGGCATTTTGATTAAAAAATTCAGAATTGTTAAGAATTTATTTCTCTGCAGTCCTTCACACTATTGTTATATCGTTCCGCTTTCATTATTTTTTTTCTAATGTTGTTTGATTCACAGACACACCCGTGTTTTCATAAATCGTGACCTATTTTTATTGATTACTGCATTAACAGGCAGAGATTGCTTAATTTGCTTCTATGTGATTGTATTTCTACGCGCTAGCAGCACGAAGTCACCGCCTCACACTCACCGCGGACAAAGGCCTATTTAGGAGAATGCAGTGTCGGTTCTTTGTTTTGTTCAATAATCACACGAAAGCTCATCTCAATTAGCCGCTTCTAACTGCCCTTTAATTGAAGCTCCACGCTGGAAAATTCCACATCAGATAGCTCGACATACACTTTGTCTTCAGGGCGGAATCACCCGTTTATTTGTGTGGGGAGGGGGGATGGGTAACTGCACCGCAATTTCCTTGGGGAAAATTGCTGGTCATTACTGGAAGCCAACACCACAGGTTGGTAATAAATTAATAGGACAACTGTGTAGCATTTATTAGACATTTTCTGTGCCACAGTAACTGTCTGGTAGTCAAAGGTTGCACATTAGTGGTGTGGTTTGTATTTATGTAATGAGTTCTTGCTTTATCTTGCTGATGACAAACACGAGGCAGAGGCAGAAAGTTCAACCATAAATGTCAATCTTCTGGTCTGTTCTGTGACTCGATCATCAGTAGTTGGAAAGATGGGGGAAACAAGGGCAGGGAAGGGGTGTGAGTTATGTGACAGCGCCGTTATGTCAAAGAAAGATATCAATCGAAAATGCGTTAAATTATAGTAATGTCATATAAAGTGATAAAGCCTTTCTTCTTCTTCTTCTTCTTCTTCTTCTTCTTCTTCTTCTTCTTCTTCTTCTTTTTCTTCTTCTTCTTCCTCTTCTTCTTCTTCTTCTTCTTCTTCTTCTTCTTCTTCTTCTTCTTCTTCTTCTTCTTCTTCATCTTCTTCTTTTTCTTCTGCTGCTTCTTCTTTTTCTTCTTTTTCTTCTTTTTCTTCTTTTTCTTCTTCTGTTTTTTCTTAAAGTCTATGTCTTGTGGCGTTGGTTGAAATGTCTAACTATAACCTTCTGTCTCGAGTACTTTCAGTCAACTCTGACACACATAGATGATACTCTATGCCATGATGTCAGACTGTCCAGCATATGTTCTGTCGCTGGCCCTCTGCCTCTCCTTCCCTCCAACTTTTCTGCGGCCACGATGTACTCCAGTTTTCTCCTTTTCATCACAAGACCAAAGAATGTAGATTGTCTCTTTCTGATGTGGGCAATCAGTTCTCTTCATGAGTCAGTTTCTTTCAAGACGTATTCATTACTCTTTTTATCTGTCCAGGGTATTCTCATTATTCGTCTATAAAACCACATCTCTGCAGCTTCCAAATAAGTTGCTTTATATGTTAGAAGGATGGTTTCTACTCTGTCACCTGACACGTAGTTATAGAGACAACAAAGACCCGCGTATCGTGCACTATCCGGCATATTGACAAGCGTCAGCCTCACTCCATACATGTAAATCAGAAAACATACTGGTGTATATTTAAAATTTGAGACATGCAACAGAATGTTGACTATCAACATTTGTCTTGAATTTTAAACGATATATCGGTTAGTAGTCTCTCATTTCGTGGTGTAGACATTGCCAACATCTGACACTTTAATATCCGCTGTTTGACTACTTTTTATCATAAACTTAAAGTAACAAGTAAAGTATCCTGTTTGACTACATTTATCATAAACTCAACGTAACAAGTAAAGGTTCCTGTTTGACTACTTTTATCATAATCTTAGAGTAACAAGTAAAGGTTCCTGTTTGACTACTTTTATCATAATCTTAAAGTAACAAGTAAAGGTTCATGTTTGACTACTTTTATCATAATCTTAAAGCAACAAGTAAAGGTTAATGTTTGACTACTTTTATCATAATCTTAAAGTAACAAGTGAAGGTTCATGTTTGACTACTTTTATCATAAAAAAGTAACAAGTAAAGGTTCATGTTTGACTACTTTTATCATAATCTTAAAGTAACAAGTAAAGGTTCATGTTTGACTACTTTTATCATAAACTCAAAGTAACAAGTGAAGGTTCATGTTTGACTACTTTTATCATAAACTCAAAGTAACATGTGAAGGTTCATGTTTTACTACTTTTATCATAATCTTAAAGTAACAAGTAAAGGTTCATGTTTGACTACTTTTATCACAAACTCAAAGTAACAAGTAAAGGTTCATGTTTGACTACTTTTATCATAAACTCAAAGTAACAAGTAAAGGTTCCTGTTTGACTACTTTTATCATAATCTTTAAAGTAACAAGTGAAGGTTCATGATTGACTACTTTTATCATAAACTTAAAGTAACAAGTAAAGGTTCATGTTTGACTACTTTTATCATAATCTTAGAGTAACAAGTAAAGGTTCATGTTTGACTACTTTTATCATAATCTTAAAGTAACAAGAAAAGGTTCATGTTTGACTACTTTTATCATAAACTCAAAGTAACAAGTGAAGGTTCATGTTTGACTACTTTTATCATAAACTCAAAGTAACAAGTGAAGGTTCATGTTTTACTACTTTTATCATAATCTTAAAGTAACAAGTAAAGGTTCATGTTTGACTACTTTTATCATAAACTCAAAGTAACAAGTAAAGGTTCATGTTTGACTACTTTTATCATAAACTCAAAGTAACAAGTAAAGGTTCATGTTTGACTACTTTTATCATAAACTCAAAGTAACAAGTAAAGGTTCCTGTTTGACTACTTTTATCATAATCTTTAAAGTAACAAGTGAAGGTTCATGTTTGACTACTTTTATCATAAACTTAAAGTAACAAGTAAAGGTTCATGTTTGACTACTTTTATCATAATCTTAAAGTAACAAGTAAAGGTTCATGTTTGACTACTTTTATCATAATCTTAAAGTAACAAGTAAAGGTTCATGTTTGACTACTTTTATCATAATCTTAAAGTAACAAGTGAAGGTTCATGTTTGACTACTTTTATCATAATCTTAAAGTAACAAGTAAAGGTTCATATTTGACTACTTTTATCATAATCTTAAAGTAACAAGTAAAGGTTCATGTTTGACTACTTTTATCATAATCTTAAAGTAACAAGTAAAGGTTCATGTTTGACTACTTTTATCATAATCTTAAAGTAACAAGTGAAGGTTCATGTTTGACTACTTTTATCATAATCTTAAAGTAACAAGTGAAGGTTCATGTTTGACTACTTTTATCATAATCTTAAAGTAACAAGTAAAGTTCATGTTTGACTGCTTTTATCATAATCCTAAAGTAACAAGTGAAGGTTCCCTTTCAAAACCAGGAGCCTATTAGACGTATGATGCTACAAGCATATTTTTATAAACCAATAAAAACTCAGTAAGTGATGTGGTCTAGAACACGCCTGCCGCCTTTTCTATCCAGAACACTACCTGGTAATCATTTTAGCCTGTGTCGACCTAGGAGCCATAGCCAATTTTCAACACAAAAATTGTGATGATACAAATTCGAATTGAACGCACCCAAGCCGAAGATGGGTGTCTACCGCTACGCTTTCTCAACCCGCCATTTGTAATATTGCTACATGTTAACCCCCCTTAGATTTATTGATCTGGTTTCAGATTGTGTGTGTGTGTGTGTGTGTGTGTGTGTGTGTGTGTGTATATTGTTTATAGATTTAACTGTTTTCTTTTTGTTTTTCTTTCTTTCACAGCCTGTACTGGATGTGTTCATGATACAAAGAACGATAACTCGGTCTGAAGAAGGGTCCGTCTAGTCCAGTGTAGTTTGACCTACGGTTCCATTGAAGTGCTTACCTTCCCTGAAAATCTCCACTTGCTTTTCGGCACCCCAACGCTAACAGATGTACACAGCCGAATCATCCTCTGATTCGTGGTCTTGTACTCTTGTATTATATTTTTTTTTTTAAACATTGAAGACGGTGAAATATCTTAAAAAGGAAGGAATGTGGATCTCTTCTTTTCAGAGATACGTGGTGTGAGAAAAACCTATACATTACCTCGCTATATGATCATACATATGGAATAACAAATTACTATTACAAAGAAAAGTAGAATAACACTGCTGATCGTTCACTTACTTCTATTCGTGGTTATTTCAAATGAAAGACTGTAATCCACTTTATTAAACTTGTGCCGCTATATCTCTGGAACGTATTCATAAGCTTGAAGTGCCTCTTGTTGTTAACAAATAATAGACATATACCCTGTTTGAAGTTTCTGAGGATAACATTTGCTGGAACTTATACGGTAGAAAAAAATAGATAACAATGGATTGAATACATATTTTATGTACAATGACTTTTAAAACACAAAATTATGAGTCAGTGCCCAGTATTTTTCGGGTGTAAAAATATCAGCATGTCGTTTTAGCTTTGAGATTTGAACCTGGAAACGCTGATCTACCCAGCAGTCTAGTAACAGTGCGTGCCTGATGTTTACAAGCACGTCCCTGTCGTTACTGAGTTTCATAATGGAGAGCGTGCAAAGATTGGATCCAACAATACTTGCCTTTTGGGAGGGCTTTCCCTGCCCTCCTCCTTGGAATGAGAAGCTCTTGTTTAGGTGAGTGTCTTTCTGTTTGTATGAAATCTGGTAGTCTTAGTTTCAGCTTCATAGCAAACGGGTCACCCCATCATTGCTCCGCTCCTGTGCCAACGAAAAACACACAAAATGTTTATCACAGTCATTTGTGGAAAGATTGACAGACTCCTGTCTCAGCATATCTAGCGTACACACGCATTAAAGCATACGGTAGCCATCTGAAGTGCTAACACAAACAGTCCGACATTAGAAATGCAGTTCATCATTGATGTTAGCAGAAGTCACCAACAGATCAGCAGTTGCCCACGCGATCAATTTTAATCACATACGGGCACCACCAACATTGCGACAATAGGCATCGCGTCATTTTCTGAATCTACAGTTCACACTACCACGTTGATCACAGTCGAAAAAACATTCCAAATGAAATCCGCAGCTCACAGTGTCACGCCATGCATTCAGCTCAGAAGATGGGCGACGAAACTATATCCAGTCTATAAATGGAGCAAAAATGCAACGGCCAACGTCCGGCAGAAGCAAAAAAATTGCCCTGGCTCTAAACAGTGCCCCTTCCTAGCATCCATTTTGACCGGAAGTCCGAATGGAGATGTATGAAGTGTTTACAGCCTCTGTGGCAAAGCCGTAAAACTGTCCACCTTCTGGTCTTTTGTTTGTTTTCGTACTGCGTGGTGTTTTTGAAGATTTCTGTGGGGACGCCTCTGAAATTATGGAGATTATATGTGCGGTTGGTGGGGGGGGGGGGGGGGAATAACGACAGAGGGCGGCAACTCTTGAAAATTCTAGACAGCTTCTTGATAGCCTTTTGTGATGGCACGGAGGGGTGTCAGAAAATTAACTGAGTCATGCTGCTGAAGATTTACAGAATAGGGTGAGATATGATACCTAAGCAAGTCGGCAAGGAACTTGATGATGATGATGATTAGGATATAGGTTCATCGCACTTGTCTGAGGCGACAGACACATTGTCAGGGGTATATTAACATTATGTATTCTTGAACACGTTATACAATAACACGTGTCTTGTAGAGCTAACCAGTATTGTTTACTGACAGAACCCCCAAACAGATGTTTGTGTCGGCATAAGCGCGCGACTGTATTTGATAGATCGTACCGTCAATAGTTCACTAGGAACCAATCAGTCATTTACAGACCAATTCTTCTTGCACCGGCTTATTACAAAACTTGTACACTTCATGTTACCCAGAGATAAAAAAAATGCCCTTACTGTAGCCTATCCACACTTCTACTTTTACTTTGCTGGCAGTGAATTCACATCACTCGCCAGAATAGCAGACATAGGAATTAGGATCAGCATAGCAAAAAACTAGACGCACACCAGACACACCAGAAGACTTGTTAATCAACTGGTACTATTAGCCATCAAACGTTGGGGTTCATACTGAGGGGAGGATCTGAGCACCTAAGGACATGTCCGGAGTGCAATGATCATAACGCAACTAACTAACTAACTAATTAACTAACTAACTAACTAACTAACTAACTAACTAACTAACTAGCCAACTAACTAACAAACAAACTAAATAACTAACTAACTAACTAACTAACTAGCTAACTAACTAGCTAACCAGCTAACTAACTAACTAATTAACTAACTAGCTAGCTAACTAACTAACTAACTAACTAACTAACTAACTAACTAACTAACTAACTAAACTAACTAACTAACTAACTAACTAACTAACTAACTAACTAGCTAACTAACTAGCTAACCAGCTAACTAACTAACTAACTAATTAACTAACTAGCTAGCCAACTAACTAACTAACTAACTATCTAACTAACTTACTAACTATCTAACTAACCAACCAACCAACCAACCAAACTAACCAACTAACTACCAACTAACTAACTAACTAACTAACTAACTAACTAACTAACTAACTAACTAACTAACTAACTAACTAACTAACTAACTTCTTCTTTTGTCGCATGATGTTCATGAAAGAAAATGTTATCTCAAAAGGCGCAATACTTCAAGGAAAATCGAAGATTGGGTTCCACAATGTTACCCAAAGCCTGACAATTCACTTATGTGACATCTTCCTTTCTTCCATGTGCGCGCGCATGTGAATGTGTGTTTCCATTGCTACATTTATACTTTATATATGTGGTAAGTTGTGTGTGTGGCGCGTATGTTTTTATGTTTGCACACATAAATGCATGCACGTGTAATTATTTACAAGGTCCGACCGTTAAGTATTTAGACTAATTCTATAAAATTAAAATAATCAACAGTTGAAGATATAACCTGTAATTTATTTAAAGTAAGCCCCTTGTGCATTGATACAGCAAGTGGCACGATAAAAACAAACACTGGAACGACTTCTGTAGTTCTTCTGTTTTTATGGCCCTTAAAGTCGACGTTACGGTCCTTTGGAGGTCATCAGTATCGTTAGAGAAGCGTCCTTTCAATCGTAACTTTAATTTTGGGAATATAAAATAATCACAGTGAGACAAATCTTGGGAATGGGTGGAAGGCTAAGAACACACACTTGTTTTTAGGCCAACAATTGTTGTTTTGAATATGTCTCTTGGATACTCAACCCGCTGATGTTTTTGGTCAGCATACAACGAATGGGGCAAGCAACTTTTTTCTTGCCAAAATCGTGCACTAACATTTTATGAATGGTCTCTCTGTTAACACCAGATTCATCTGCTATCATCCTCACAGTAAAACAATGATCTTCTTGTATCCGTTCTCTGACTTTTGCAATGAGTTCATCATTACGAACAGAAATTTGGCGTCCAGGACTAGGTGCATTAGTAATCATTTCCACACCACTTTTGAATCGTGAATACCACCTGAAAATGTGTGCACGAGATAAACAATTATCCCTATAAACATGTTGCATTACTGAAACTGTTTCAATAGAGCTTTTTCTGAGTTTAAAAAAAAATAATGTTAGCGTTTTGCTCCGTGCTGATTACGTAACAATGCATCTCTGGCTAGGTCAACAAAATGGCGGCTTGTCTGTTGTCTGCTTATCGAGCGGCTATGAAAAATTGCCAGATCAAAGATTAATGTTGCCTCTTTAGTAGGGCTGTACCGAATATTCGCTTCGTAATCGCTTCGGGGCCGAATAGTGGACCGAATGACTATTCAGTATTCGGCCGAATAGTTGCGGTCGGGCCGAATACGAATAGTGGTTACCTCACACTCATTTCTGCATACACTGCGATGGACTGAAATAAATCTCTCATTAACACAATAGCTGCTGTTGCCTAAGTTTGTCTTGCCCGTTGACTCGACCGAGGCATTACAGCAAAGGTTCTCAAACTGGGTGCGTATGCCAGGGGTGCCGGGCGAAAGTCAAGAAAAGTCGGCTATAAATTGTGACATTCTTAAAGAAGACATAAAGATACTTGAGATACTTTCCTCGCCACTGTCAAAAAGAGCACAGGCGACAGGCAATAACTGCTGTTTATAAAATGAAGAACATCTTATGCAATATATCTTTGCCATTGAAGGTTAGAAAAATAATTCTTGCTTGTTACTATTTTTCTCTTATTTTTCCAGTTTTAACATATAGTTGTAAGTCCTGGACAATCGGTAGGCAGGCCAAACAATCTCTCTAAGCTTCAGAGATGTAGTTTTACAGAACAATGCTCAAAATACCTGTTGTAGAAGGAGGGATAGAAGAAGACAACATGAGAACATTCTTGACAGTCTTGTTGCATGGCATGGAGGTGTGTCAGCACACGAACTAATACATGCTGCAGCAGATCGCAGATTGTGGCGAGGCATAATCGCCCACGCCAGTCGGCAAGGCACCTGACGATGATGATCCACTCTTCGTATTTGTATTCGTATTCGGCCGAATAGTAAAAATCACTATTCGGTACAGCCCTACTCTTTAGATTCCATGCTTTGCTTCATAGATGGCATTTTTGTCTTGGCTTTTACAAAATAAGTATAATTACTTAATTGTCGGACCTTGTACATTGCCTTTTCAAGACTTTTATTTTTGCTTTTTGCGTTTTTGTGTGAATGTATGTAATGTTACATCTAGCTGTTCTCTCTATCTGCCGTTTTTGTTGTTGCTGGTAGTGCTTTATTTTACATCTTTGGGTGAAGTTTCTCCTTTCGATAGCACGAAACCTGGGCTGTGCTGAAAAGACCATGGGTTGCTAAGGCAGCCTGATCCCTCACTCGGCCTGCTTTGTTTACTCAGGAGGAAAGGTAACAACAATGCGTTTGGAACAAAGCATGTTGCTGAAGCTGCCGGATCAGAAGAGCCTGCTCTGTCTGTCTACCTGTCAAAGCTCCCCTCTTTGACTAGGTACGCTAAGGACCTGAATTTTCTCTATGAATTACATGTTATTTCTTGTGTTATATGCCTGTGTGTTTTACATCACTGCTTCTGTTTACTCTTTATGTCTCCAATAAGTGTTGTCTGCATAGTTCTGCAGTCACAACCACTACCCTTGTATTCCACAGACTCAACTGGACTGGCTGTGTGGGACTAGAGATGGGAGAAAAGGTGAAACTATACATGGCCGACAAATGCAACATCCGCCATGACGGCAAGTCGGTGCTGGTCGAGTCCGGGGACCAGGCTAATAACGGGGTCATGGTGGAAGAGGACTGTGGCCTGGCATGCCAGTTGGTCATCGGCGTGGTCTCTGTGCTCTTCATCGTTCTGCTGCTCATTGTCGTCGTGGTCTGCGTGAGAAGGTCAGTTCCCTTTGTTTAGTGTTATGTCTGCGTTATCTATGTCATTCTGCAGCTCATTATATTCGTTGTCTGACTGAGAAGGTCATTTTCGTTAGAACTACGCCATTTCTTGGTTGTGTCTATGTTCTTCTGCCCAGAGTCATCATTGCCAGTGTGAGAAGGTCATTTCCATTAGGTCTGCGTTATGTCTAAATTATGCTGCTCGTAATCGTCATTGTCTGCGTGAGATGGTCAGTGCCTTGAGGTCTTCGCTGTATCTACTTTCTGCAGCTTGTAATCCTCGATATCTGACTGAAAATGTCATTTCCTTTAGGTCTAATGTTATGTTTACATTCTGCTTCTTATAATCGTCGATGGCTGCGTGAAACGATAATTTCCTTTAGGTCCATGTTATGTCTACGTTCTGCTGCTCATAATCGTCGATGTCTGCCCGAAATTGTCATTTCCTTTATGTCTATGTTACGGTTAAGTTCTGCTGCTCATAATCATCGATGTCTGCCCGAAATTGTCATTTTCTTTATGTCTATGTTATGGTTAAGTTCTGCTGCTCATAATCATCGATGTCTGCCCGAAATTGTCATTTTCTTTATGTCTATGTTATGGTTAAGTTCTGCTGCTCATAATCGTCGATGTCTGCCCGAAATTGTCATTTTCTTTATGTCTATGTTATGGTTAAGTTCTGCTGCTCATAATCGTCGATGTCTGCCCGAAATTGTCATTTCCTTTATGTCTATGTTACGGTTAAGTTCTGCTGCTCATAATCATCGATGTCTGCCCGAAACCATATTGTCATTTTTTCTTTATGTCTATGCTTTATGGTTAAGTTCTGCTGCTCATAATCGTCGATGTCTGCCCGAAATTGTCATTTTCTTTATGTCTATGTTATGGTTAAGTTCTGCTGCTCATAATCGTCGATGTCTGCCCGAAATTGTCATTTTCTTTATGTCTATGTTATGGTTAAGTTCTGCTGCTCATAATCGTCGATGTCTGCCCGAAATTGTCATTTTCTTTATGTCTATGTTACGGTTAAGTTCTGCTGCTCATAATCGTCGATGTCTGCCCGAAATTGTCATTTTCTTTATGTCTATGTTACGGTTAAGTTCTGCTGCTCATAATCGTCGATGTCTGCCCGAAATTGTCATTTTCTTTATGTCTATGTTATGGTTAAGTTCTGCTGCTCATAATCGTCGATGTGTGCCTGAAAAGGTCAATTTCTTTAGGTCTGTGTTATGTCTACGTTCTGCTGCTTACAGTCGTCATTGTTTCCTCGAGAACATCTTTCCCTTAGCTCTACAATATGTCTAGCTTCTGCTGCTTATACCCTTGTTGTCTGCATAAATAGACCAGTTTCCCTTATGTGCACGTTAACTCATATACACTCAGCTACTTACATTATAACCTCTTTGACACGAAATCGCTTACAACGAATAGTCCCTTCTCCAAAATGAATATAATTTTGGTCCTAGCACGGATATATTTTTTCATATTATATTAACTACTCCCCGGTTAGCAAGTATTTTTATTTTAAACTTAAGCGTAAGTTTACGACATTTAATGCGCAGAAGATCGTAACAATAGAAATGAGCTGTCGGTGTGACATGAAGAGACAAAATCAGGAATTAAGAAATAAGAAGACCACTCGGACTGAAACTTGTCATACAGTTCATTAAAGGACAAAATGTCAGATGGTTTGGTCACCTGACGATAATGCCGTGGTACCAACTGCCACAGAGAGCCACGCTGAAGAAATATATTGAACAATGAGCAAGGGGAAGACCACTCAAGAGATGGAGCGACATCATCAAGAGCAACCTGACAGAAATCAACACTAACTTGTTCAATGCATTGGAAAAAGCACACAAACGATCCTTTCATATCCCCCAACACCTCTCTTAAGTAAATAGTAGAAGCGAAGAAAAAGACGTAGAAGTAAGTTTTTCGGTTCTTTGGAATTTGTGTTATCGAGGTTTAACCGTAATACATATAACAACAGTTTCTTCCTTTCATTTGCTTAGTCTGTTACGCAGTTTGTTCGTCATCATGTCTGTGTCTAGAAGAAACAGAATCTTCCAAATGTCGTGATATGAGCGTGATGTTTTATTTATTCTTTTTATTTTTAATATAGTTTTATCTTTCAATAACCGGGGCACCCATGATCAGCGTTGTATAGGGAGATAATTATCTATCTATCTATCTATCTATCTATCTATCTATCTATCTATCTATCTATCTATCTATCTATCTATCTATCTATCTATCTATCTATCTATCTATCTATCTATCTATCTATCTATCTATCTATCTATCTTATCTATCTTATCTATCTATCTATCTTATCTATCTATCTATCTTATCTATCTATCTATCTATCTATCTATCTATCTATCTATCTATCTATCTATCTATCTATCTATCTATCTATCTATCTATCTATCTATCTATCTATCTATCTATCTATCTATCTATCTATCTATCTATCTATCTATCTATCTATCTATCTATCTATCTATCTATCTATCTATCTATCTATCTATCTATCTATCTTATCTTATCTATATCTTATCTTATCTATCTTATCTTATCTATCTATCTATCTATCTTATCTATCTATCTTATCTTATCTTATCTTATCTTATCTATCTATCTATCTATCTATCTATCTATCTATCTATCTATCTATCTATCTATCTATCTATCTATCTATCTATCTATCTATCTATCTATCTATCTATCTATCTATCTATCTATCTATCTATCTATCTATCTATCTATCTATCTATCTATCTATCTATCTAATAATCTAATCTAATCTATTTATCTATTTGTCTGTCTGTCCATCTCTCTCTCTATCTATCTATCTATCTATCTAACTGTCTGTCTATCTAACCGAACCAAAGAGCTAACAACTCATTGTTTTTGGGTATTTAAAAATATATCCGTCTATCTATCTATCTATCTATATATCTATCTAGACAGACAGACAATAGTTCGCTTTTTCCACTCAATGGTATTTAGTATGGGAATTAAAGTCACTCAAAGCAAGCAACTCAGGGAAACGGTTCCACTGGCATAGACATAGTCTGCAACCATAATATTGGCCTTCTCTCCTCCTCTGGCCTTCTCTCTCTCTCTCTCTCTTTCTCTCTCTCTCTCTCTCTCTCTCTCTCTCTCTCTCTCTCTCACCAAAAGAAATAAACACGTGCATAATTACTGTCCCTGCAATCAATCAGACCCACTGTTCGCATGCGCACACTGTCGTGTTTTGTGTAGCAAAAATATTCCTGCACGAGCTAATCAAGTTGTTGTCTCCCCTGACAGACCCTATATGACTCTGTGTAAGAGTTATTGGAAATGGCTGTGTGTGCCGAATTGGGGAAGAATACAAAACTTCCCTGCTGAGGTTATTGTTTTCCGACACGCCTGTGGCTATTTGCTGTGTATCGAGCCATCCAGGATGAACAGGCCTGCCCGAGGTCTTATTTTGTGGAACCTAATTAAACCTATGAAATAAAACCCCCGCTTGAAGCCTTTTGTTTAACAAACTTAGCTAACACTGCAATGTCGCTGGCGTTTCTAACGACAGCATTAGAATTCACATGGACACAGGGAGAAAGTGCGTCCACTGATTGCTTCATCCCCTCTTCCCCCCGGCCTGTCAATTGAATGAACCCATCGTGTACCCAGCGTCAAATCGTGGAGCTTGGAGACCCGTGCATCAGCATATCTCTACATAAGATACAGTAGTCGAGCTGTCGTATCGTATTTGTCCAGGGAATCCCACAATCTAATTCTGCTTCTAGAATCGTTGGCAAACCCCGCACCTCTAGCAGGGCATCGATTCAGCCCTCTTCTATTGACTTTCTGTAATATCGTTTGCCCCCAGGACGCCGTTCTTAACTCGTCCTCTATGTTATGAAAACCGTAGTCGGTGACATGTTCTATCCGTCACTTGTCACGTAAAACAATGTTTATCTGGTAGCCATCCTCGATTCCTAAAACCCGGGGCCTCTGATTCTAATCCCGTATTAGACATCCTTCTCTCGTATTGTCAGAATGGCTCTTGATATGTGTGCAGAATACATAAGCAATGATAAATCGAAACCGGTCCTGACTTTTTGACAACTGAACGCGCTCGGAAGCCGGTGTGGCAGATTTATTTCAAAGGTTGTGTTGGAGGTACTTGAACGGAGATCTGAGTTGCCATAACGCGCAAGGAACCAAGGCAACGAACGCGAATAGATAATATTGTCATAATTCTTTCTCAACACTGAAATATTTTACAGCTACAACGCTCGTTACTGTCCAATTTTTTTTTTTTTTTATGTTGTAAATAAAGTTGTTCACATTTGTTTGTTATTGTAGAAAATATGTACGCGAACCAGCAGGAAGCAATCGATTTTGCAAGAAATGTTGAATCAGCTCATCTGTCTTTGTATATTTGTCTTTCCGCCTATCTATTTTTGTCGGTTTGTCTGGCTGTTTGTTCATCTATATACCAGACTACCCATCTACCTAGCTACGCTATATATATATATATATATATATATATATATATATATATATATATATATATATATATATATATATATATATATATATATATATGAAATGTTATTTTTTTTATCGTATGTTAAAAGACTAGTTGCTAAAATGCTGTACACGTTAGTTTTTCAACTTCCCTAATGCTAGTTCGTGGCTTGGTTGCAATTTTTCGGTTTTTTTAAAACTCCATCCTGGCTGTTGCCGTGAGCCCTAAAATAACAACGGTTGAACGGGGTTTCCTGGATCTCCACGGGTGATCTTCATCCGCATGGTGGTACTTTGTGTCCTCTGGTGTTTATCGCTCTTTGTGGTGTCCAGGTGGGGTAAAATTTATTACCTACTTACTTACTTACATACGGTTTTGCAGCTAAAGTTTCCCGAGACACAAAGTAGACAACATTAAGCCAACCGCAACTCAGATCCCCTTTCCCATTTTTCATGCCCCCCCCCCTCCCCTT